CATAAGTAAACTTAAAAATTATACATACATAAATATATTTATAAGAATTAACATATTTACATACAAACATATATGTAGACGAGTACGCATGTTTATAGCAACAGATGCCTAAACGACTTCATGTTGCCCTAAGCAATTTAAATTTTAACCGCATTTGCGAGGCATGACGCACGTTTTTACGTGACATACATAAGTACGTATGTATGTATTTCTATTGCATTTAACGAAATATTGATACGAGTAAAAGTGTAGCATTAATAATGCGTCCATTCACCTATTTATGTGCCCAGAATCTTTGTGCATTAAAATAGCCAAATAAAGAAGCTCAACGGAAGTGTGATCGCCGGGGAGAAAAGTCTTATGCAAAATTTTATATGTATTTCGTGTAATACCTCTAAATAAATATATAAGCATACATAATTATATAGGTATGTATGTATGTCCATGCAAAATTATGTACACAGCATCCCACTGGGAAATAGGTAAGCACCTTACCGAGGCAATCCAAGTTTTCTTTCAGATTTTAGTACCAAAATGTCTTCTATTAGTAAAGCAAAAAAGGAAACCCCTCCCCGTCGAAGTTGCAAAATAACGTTACGCGTCTGCTCTACATTCTACGCACTTTACACTTGGTAAAGCGACTCGGAAGTATTTATGATACCAAATGTACATCCATACTAAATTCCTACTTCCATAAGGCAGCCACGCCTTTGTTAAAGTACGGCAGGGAAGTCTAATAAGTTGCGGGTAAGATATTATTACGTGCTCCTATTTCATATAGGGATCATAGAAAAGAACCACTAACGTATACTTAAGTTCGGGCGAAACCGAAGGGTATATACCCGGCGCACAAATTAAAAATCGTTTTACACCTTACTGTAAAATAAAAGATAAGCAAGGATACTTTTCCCGATTTCATACAAATTCGATAATGGGCTAAATTTCGTATTTCTGTAAAACACCGTTATATGGGAAGTGGGCGTATTTATCATGCGATTTAACAAATTTTCAAACGGTTTCTTTATTTTATTCTAGACAAGGTCTGTACCGAATTTGGTGTGGGTTGGTGAAGCGGCTACTGAGATACAGCATTTCACCATAGGTGGTCGGTGTCACGGGAGGGGCGCCGTTACCATCCGATTTCGCCCATTTTCAGTACCAACTTACCTTGTATAAAGGGCAGCTGATGGAGGGACAGACCGACAGGCATGGCATAATCGACTTGTCTATTTATTCTGAGCATTTTGTTACAAAAAAAACAAAGTTAATATACCTTAGTGCACAAGTGCGCTAGGATATAAAAAGCACATAAATTCAAGATCTAAATTTTTTTTAAATTAAAATTGGGATTTAATATAATTGTTGCAAACTAACTAAAACTTAAAGGACAGCAAAATGAAGCTATAATCACAAAACATTAAACGAAATATTTGAAAAATTTACTAAAACCACTCAATTAGTCATAAAATATTAACATCATACGTTTTCTTTGAAGAGATTTTAATGTTTGTTGCGCTGACTTTGATCGCCAATTTGTTTTGTCAGGTTGCCAATACATATGCCCCGTTTCCGGCTGTCTACCATATACATACATACATACATACATACATATGTACGCACGTATGTAAATATGTGCATGTATGTGCATGTTTTCTGCTAATAATTTATTGCTTTCCTATTATACCTGGCGCATTTTAACTTCAATAAGACTTTTTCTATGTACTACTATTTATAGTTAGCAAGGTGTAATTAACCACATGACCCAGAAAACTTGGTCAGAAGAATTCCGTACAGGTCACAAAATACAAACAAAAATTTTTGAACTCTGGTCCGAAAATTGCCAACACCCACAGTGCTGTGCGAGCGGGCAAAAATCAAAAGTTTTTTTTTGTCTCAAGTATGGACGTTCCGGTACCATCAAAGTATCGATACTAGGGATGTTAATATTTCGGCTTTTTCCGTTCCCGGGATTTTCGGGATGCCGTTATCACGATGCCAGGATCCTGGCATTAGTCCCGGGATTTAGATATTCATTATTTTTCAACAACTTAAATCGAAAAAATTGCTTCTATCTCTCCTACCATAATAAATAAATGGGTGTGATACCTGCTTTTTAATTTAAAGCGGCGTTTTTATTTTTTCTCTTTGACGTCGGGATTTAATTTGTAATTTCAAAGATTTGATTAATTTCAAAAATATTTAAAAAATTCAATGCAATGTAGAATAAAAGTATGGGTACCAAATGAAAGACATTTCTTTAAAATTAAAAAAGAAATAAAGTTTTTTTGGTTTCACGATGATGAAAGGGCAATTTTTTAAGCTGATCAACTTAGAAGGGCGAAATTCGAGGATGTTATCGAGTTTATATAAGTCCTTAACATATAATTTTTTCAAAACCAAATATTGCGAATTTTTAGGGATACAATTTTAAGAGCACATTTTCAATATTTATCAGTCCTTATGCACCAGAAACTTGAATCTGTTTAAATTCTACAAGATTTCCTCATTAATTTGTTACCCTAAGCACATTTCTCTGAGTTTTTTAAAATCATTTTTTAATTACTGACGTCAGAGCGACGCAAAATTAAAAACAAATTGAATTCTGTAGTTTAGACTCGCTATATATTAAAGTCAAATTTATTTTGTTGAAAATAAAAATATTGCTTAAGTTTAAAGGAGTAAATCTAAAAATCATGTAAAATCATGTTTTGTTTTATACCATAAATCAAAAGTACGGCTTTTATCTGTAGAAAAATAAAATAAAAATATGCCACTTTTTTGCACTTTACGAAATAATGCGGTTTTGGCAGATGCATCAAATATTTTTTTTTCATTTTTTGTTAATGCCATTAGATCTGCACCATTCGGCCGATTTTCTAAAATGAGACGGCACATTAAATGCCTTATCTTTTAAATGTGTAAGAAAGGTCTAATTTTTTGAAAAGAGTTACCACCTGTTAAAAGATCTAATTGAAATTATTTAATAAGTTAAATTAATTATTAAAAGATGGGTATCAATCTAAATGGAGGTGGAAAGAGTTGATTTCCTAACTAAATGTGGGAGGGTTGCCACCTGTTTAAACAATGAAATTCCATATTAATTTATGGAATTAGGTGACTGAAATACATATCACCATATATATGGGAGTCAGACGAAAGAGGTTTAAGGTCATTGCTTGCATAGGTATATTTTGAAGATGGTCGCCACCTGTTTGCAAATCGAATTTAATTAAACTTTTCATAACCTGTATACGTACATATATGAAATATTAAAATATTTATATCAAACGAAAGGGTTACGGCATCTTATTTGTTATTTTATTACTGGACCCTTAAATTAACTTTAAGGTTTCAGGAATTTACTTGTTTTTTTTTGCTAAATATTATAAATTTGTTCATTTGACACCAATGTTATTATACATATTTCAGTTACCCAAATCCATTAATTACATTGAATTTAATTGTTTGAAGAGGTGGCAACCCTTATATGTTTAGTTTAGAAGTAAATTATTTTCAAAACCATGTCGATTGATATCCATATTGTAATTACTAATTCATTTAACTTATTAAATAATTTGTATTCAATTATTTAACAGCTGGCAACCCTTAAAAAATAAAACTTGACTGAATATCTACAGGCTAATTTCTACAAACTCACACTTCACTTTTGAAAATGGAATGAACTATATACACGTATTTACAATACGGGCAACTATTTTTTAAATGTTTTTTTTTTGTCGCTAATAATGTTCGATAATTTTTTTATATGGAAAAAATGTGCGACACCTTCAACAAAAAAATTTTCCAAAAATCAATGGTAATTGCTAGCTTTCTCATACTAGCACATTATTTTACTAAAATTGAATGGGCTAAAAACTGCATACTCGGCTTTTTTCTAGAGAGAAATGAAATCGGTTTTGGATTAAATTAATTGTTTAAAATTTTTATTCGATATGATGATTAATGCCCTTACGAACGAACATCAAATCAAAAAGTTATAGGAAAAACCCGAAAACAATTTTTACTCTCCCATTATGTGTTCAAAATCGCTTGGAACAAATTGAAATTTTTACTGTGATAAGGTGTAATGCACATACATGCATACACACGTACCTATGTATTTCGATTACGTATACGCCAAGTGGTTCCCCAAACAACATTTTCCCAACTAAGGAGTAATGTAAAATTTCTCTGCGTTTTCAGGTGTTAACCGACTGCTCTCCAACTAGTGATGGATACTTGGAATGTTTTGGCAGTGCAGACCTCCTCTTCGGCTATAGGACGCGATGACATTACTGTGGCATCCAAGGAGAAGCTGGTGAGTAAATTTCCTACTTAATGAACAGCATTGCATGTCCATGGTATTTCAAGGGAGTGAGGTACATATATGTATGTACTTAACCCTCATCTTACCAACATAAACAAGTTGCAAATCCTACCAGCATGTGTCTTCAAGACACATACTATATGAAAATAAAATTAAAATATGAGTAATGTTCTGTTTTGGCACCATCCAAGTCGGATGCAAATTTTTTCAAACAACATATCCGGCTATTTCACAAGTGCCAACCAAATTACAGAAGAATGTGAATGGCCATCTATTTTATTTTCTGCGGCAAGTAAAACTATGTGCAAGTTGGTCCAAAGTATCTACTGCGCCCTTACTTTGATTGTAATGCAAATTTATTTCTGAGTTGGTTTTGTTTTGGGTGTCGAAAGTAGATGCCGAATGCTTCGAATATAGGAAAAGAACTGCTCTTTTTGGTGCTGAGACATAAGACACCAAAGTCATACTTTTGGTGAAACCAAATATATTTTTGTTTCTATTTGCTTTCCTGTTTGGTAACACAACGTTTATTCTTCTTTAGAATACCTGTGAGTGATTAATTTAGTCAGTTGATTTTTTAGA